TGTAACAGCAAAAATTCTCTAAAATTGTGTAACAGCAAAATTGTCCAAATCGTGTAACGGCAAAATTGTCCAAATCGTGTAACAGCAAAAATTGTCTAAAATTGTGTAACAGCAAAATTGTCCAAATCGTGTAACGGCAAAATTGTCCAAATCGTGTAACGGCAAAATTCTCTAAAATTGTGTAACAGCAAAATTGTCCAAAATCGTGTAACGGCAAAATTGTCCAAATCGTGTAACAGCAAAATTGTCTAAAATTGTGTAACAGCATAATTGTCCATCACACCAAACGTTTAATATCTAAAAAAAAAACCCACTAAAGTGAGTTTCTTTTTTCCAGGTTTTTTCAGATAAGACGTTATGCATCATTTAGACATCATTAGACGTCATTTGTCGTAAGAATCACTGAAAAACCCTTGGAGTTATTCAAACCATGAGAAATTTATTTACCAAAAAAAAAAAAGTTTTAACAAAGTAACTGTAAACATTTTTTTTCTATCCTCTGCCAGCCGCTATGATGGAGAAAGCATTACCTCGAACCATGGCCAGTGAGACATGCTGCAAGAGCCACTCCGTTTCGCGAGGCTCGTCCCTTAATCGAGACGCAATCGCGCCAATCCTCTGAAGAAACGCCATCGAACGAGGGCCAATAACCCCTGAAGTCTCCACTGCCACAGGAGTAAAAAAAATCTATCAGCAAGAGAAGAATATATAACTATTCTTTTTAGTTATTCAGCTAGGAAGAGATCAGCTTAAAATCATTTTGTGTCAACCCCACTGTATTTCCAGCTGAACAATGGTGAGAGGAAAAAGATCATTAAGGCCTTCAATAATGGTGCCAACATTCATACACTGGCTTCCATCTTCAAAGTTCATTCAAGGACCATCAAGGGGACGGAGAATAAGTTTAAGAAAGAGGTATCAGTAGAGAGGAAAGAGGAAGAGTCTGGTCACAACAGCAAGAGGGATCATCATTTTAATTTAGAGAGCTAAAGAGGTCAATTAGAAAAAAATCAAACTCAATCCATAAGACGTTTGGCTCGTGATAGAGAAGTTTCAGCTATGACAGTGCAAAGAGCAGTGGAAAAAGACTTGAAAATGAAATTGTTCGTGAAACCTGTGAGGTACCTTGTTACTCCAGGACAAAAACTTAGAAGGTTAGAGAGGGTGTATACCATCTTGAATAAGTTGTAAAATGAGCCTGGAATAATAATAATAATAATAATAATAATATATGTGTGTGTGTGTGTGTGTGTGTGTGTGTGTGTGTGTGTGTGTGTGTGTGTGTGTGTATTCTTTCTATATTCTATTTCATTGTCTATCTAAATGTTCGAAGTCGTTCTGTATTTATTTATCCATCTATCTCATTCTATTTAAATCTATATGTCTCTCTATCTATCTGGTCGAAATTTCATGAGGGATCATCATTTCAACTTATAGCTAAAGAGATCAATTAGAAAAGTTCCAACTCAATCCATAAGACGTTTGGCACGCGAGAGACGAGTTTCAGCTATGACAGTCCAAAGACTAGCGAAAAAAAGACTTGAAAATAAAATCGTACGCGAAACGTGGGACGCATCATTTACTCCAGAGAAGAAAGTGGGAAGGTTATGAGAGCTAAGATTATTTTGAATAAGTTGTTAAATGATCCTGAAATATATATATATATATATATATATATATATATATATATATATATATATATATGGACTTAATTTCGGTCCTTCATGGGCTTCCGATCCTTAGCTATGATTAATGATGAACTTTTTCGTTTATCATCGAATTCATCACGTTTCTTCTGTTAACCTCGGAGAGTAATTATACATTGTAAATGCTCAAACTAGAGTCCAATAGTGTTATAAAATCCTCGAAAAATTCCAGTAAAATATCTTTAATCATTTCCAGGCTTAATCTAACAATTGGACAATTTGGCTGTTACATGATTTGGACAATTTTGCTGTTCAACCCGGTATATCGTAAAGAAACATACGTTTTGACTGAGCATACCAAAAAAGGTGACATCATTTAAAACCTGGATACATGAATTATCTACATGTACCAGGCAAACAAAATTAATTAGTCTTCATGTTGAGCAATACAAGATTTATCTATCAGCATTCAAATACGATGTTCAAGGGGATGTAGATTTTATAAGCAATTTCATAAAGCTTTACAAATGTTCAAAATGCGCACCATTTGTGACACGACACACACCCATTCAGTAGTCCAGCTCCTGCCGAACATGATGTAGCATACCTTGCATAACATTTTCCAGCCCGTTAGTGATTATCTGCGTAATTTCCTCTCTGCTTGTCGGAAGAGGGAGGGATATATAGCTGTCCTTTCACATAGCCCCATAGAAAAAAAATATCACAAGGTGTCAAGTAAGGTGAACATGGTAGTCATATCAATAACGCATTGTCATTATCACTGACACGCACGATCCATCTTTCTGGTAGATTTACATTCCTTTGAGTGAGAATCGGCTATGTTATTAGACTACAAAATGATGTTAATTTTTTTCGAGGGGGGGGGCAGGGGGACACCTTGTATATATAGTAAAAAGAGTAATCGACCAACTGAGTTTATAAATTAATTAAATTTCTTTGAAAGTTTATTCCGAACATCGCTTGACGAGGGAACGAGACGATGGATTTTAAGTTTAATTTTTTTTAATTATATTTATAAATTTGGGAAATCTTCTGTGTCTCGATGTAATCATATTTTTAAAAAGAAAATAATTATAATTTTATATATATATATATATATATATATATATATATATATATATATATATAAATTATTTTTTTATTTTTGTTATATATATATATATATATATATATATATATATATATATATATATATAAAAAAAAGAGAAGAGAGGTGTTGCAAACGTTTTTGGTTGTAATGTGGATGATTTTAGAAAAAAATATTATGCTTCATTTTCCATAATTTTACTACACGTGTTTCTGGTCTCGCGAACGTCCTCAGGTAAAAGGCGGAGATTTCCACATATTATTAAAAATAATTAATTTTTTTCTTTATGTTTTTCGATGTTAAATATTCTCGATATGAGACATTTTCTGTTTTTGTATTAGTAATCCGAATGCCCTTATATATATATATATATATATATATATATATATATATATATATATATATTAAAATGGACAAAAGTCCGACAATTATTTTAAGACATTTTTATGTTTAGACATTCTTTTTATATACCCAAATATTTAAGTAAACGCTCTGTTTTATAATAAACAGTATTAAACAACATTTACCGGAGCATTACCCCGAACCATCGCTAGTGAGACACTCTGCAAGAGCCATTCCGTTTAACAAGGCTCGTCCTTTAATAGAGACGCAATCGCACCGATCCCCTGAAGGAACGCCATCGAACGAGGGCCAACAACTACAGTAGTTTCTATGAACATTCAGGCCGGTAAATGTTGTTTAATACTGTTTATTATAAAACAGAGCATTTACTTAGATATTTGGATATATAAAAAGAATATATATATATATATATATATATATATATATATATATATATATATGCCCCAAGCAAACGAAATTAAATAGGCTTCACGTTGAACAATAAAAAAATCTATTTTTCAAAATGTGAACAAGTTATTCATCCAAGGGATGTAAATTTTATAACCGATTTCACAAAGCTTCACAAATGTTCAATATGCGTACCCCCTGTGTCCCATGGTAGTCCAGCTCCTGTCAATCACGCTGTTGTATGTCTTGCGTAACATTCCCCAACGCCTCAGTGGTTTTACTTCTTTAAGTTCCTCTACACTTGTAGGAAGAGGGGGGATACAGACCTCTCCTTTCACATAGAAAAATATCACAAGGTGTCAAAGGTGAACATGGTGGCCAATTTCAACAGGACATCGTTTAATGTGTTAGCAATCTTGTCTCGCTAGATCAATTACGACTGAATATGGAGTTTGGTTCTCCCTTGTGCTATATCTAAGCTACGCTCAGAAAATAACCATATTAAACGATATTCATTTTTTTTTCAGCTTTTCACCCCAGGCAAGGCGAGAGTGCCACTAACAAAGAGGTGCGGAAGAGGAAAGGATGATGGGAATGGGGAACAGATTAAGGCATCTAGAGATGTCGATTGACATTGCACTTGAATAGTTGGAGATTATAGCTATCAGGGAAGCTAGTAAGAGGAAGGGAGTTCCCCCCAGACGGGAAGTGCAAGACATGAAGGTATTGCAGTAGAATAGACGGCCACATTTAACAGTTGACATTTTCGACAGTTACAGAGTTGGGACTGAGTTACCGATCTATTGGCACGATTAAATTCATGCAGTTTGGGAACCAGCGGAAGTAGCTTGTCGGAGCAGTTACTGTGAAAGTATTTGTAGAAAAGACAGAGGGAGGCGACGGCACGTCTGTGAGAGAGCAACTGTAAACGAGATGCCAGATCAGGGCCAACCACATTGCATATCCGTCTCTGGATTTTGTCAAGAACTTTAAGACGAATAGCGAGGGTTCCAGACCATTTACGACAGCAATATTCCATGCAAGGGCGAATGGTTGATTTGTAGACTTGAAGGATGGACTTGGGCGAGATAAATTTTCTGGCGCGATACAGAGAACCAACTTTCCTTGCTCATAACAATACGGAAATTATCCCTCTGCCTTTAGTTACTCTCGAGCCTTGTATTGGATGAATTTTAGTATATAAAGAAGACGCTTCAGGTTCAGGTTATACTGTTGCTATGAGCCGAGTAGGGTAGCATTGTGTCACATTACTTTTGATTTGAAAATTCTATTTATGAGTTGATAATGTTATTCCGTAACTGATCTCAGCGATTCTTTTTTTCTCCTCTTGTGAACGAATCTCTTTTGTGGCGATGTAAGGCATCTTTTCGATGCATTCTTATAGGACACTGTTTGCCCCTGTGTCGAGAACCGCCCCTCCCCCTCACTCCCAGCAAATCGATATTATCATTGACTTTGATTGAAGAACGCCGTTGCCTTTTCTATTCGGTGCCGTCGGCGCTTCTCGACAGTGTTCCTTTCACTCGTTTCGCGTCTTTGTACTGCTTCTGCCTTAGCCGTATTCTCATCTTCCTTTCATAATTTTTTTTTTCTTCTTTTTTTCAAGATCTTTGGAGTCGCTCATATAAATCTGCAGATTTTCAAAATCCTTCGGCAAAGATACGGGTCGTATGAGAATGAATACATCTTGAATCAGTTACGGATATGCAACCATTGACAGGGTTCACAGACGACCACCAAGAATCCTTTGGAGAGAAAGACAAAGTGCTGGCACCACAAAAATTTTATTCCTTCAATTTCAACCACCCCACCCTCACCGGCCACAGTGTTTATTTTAATTTTTTTTTTTTTATTTATTTTTAATTTCACACCAAACAATGAAATAAAGCCACTAGGACGCAAATTATCACTGAGCGAATACGAGAAAATTTACTGTTAACAAGAGAGAACAATAGAAGAATTAAGAAGACAAGAGATAACGATTGACAATGCATTTAAATTTTTGAAGATAAAACTTGCCTGCAGGCCAAGAAACTGGAAGAGAGTCCCACAAGGAAGAACTGCGATAGAAGAAACTGTTAGCATAGAACTTGCGGTTGTCATTTCAAATGTAAAATAATGAGATCTCGAAACGTTACTCTAGTACTGCGCTTAAAGTTATAAGGTCTAGATACTATAGCGGAGAGTTTACCAGAATAATTACCACGTAAATATTTATAGAAAAAGTATCATTTCACCACAACTAAGGCAATAAAGTCACTAAGACGCAAGAGATTCTCAAGTATGAAAGTATATGAGAAAACGGAAACATTATTATGCAGAGAGAAAAATAAAAAAAAAAACAGGTATTAAGACGAAAAAATAACGATTGACATTGCATTTAAATTTTTGAAGATAAAATTTGCCTGTGGGCCAAGAAACTGGAAGAGAGTCCCACAAGGAAGAACTTCGATAGAAGAAACTGTTAGCATAGAACTTGCGGTTGCCATTTCAAATGTAAAATAATGAGATCTTGAAACGCATATCTAGTACTGCGCTTAAAGTTATTAGATCATGATACTATAGCGGAGAATTTATCAGAACAATTACAATTTAAATATTTATAGAAAAAGTATTATTTCACCACAACCAAGGCAATAAAGTCACTAAGACACAAGAGATTTCTAAGTGTGAAAGTATATGAGAAAATGGAAACATTATTATGCAGAGAGAGAGAGAGAGAGAGAGAGAGAGAGAAACAGGAATTAAGACGAAAAATAACGATTGGAATTGCATTTATAATTTTAATGGCCAAAGTTGACTGTAAACAAGAAGCAGGAAGAGTTCCACATATGGGAAATACGAAAAAAAAAAAGAAATTGTTAGCAAAGAACTTACGGTTACAGCTAAGTAATTAACCCGTAAAATGGTGAGACTTGGCACTTACATTGTACAATGTAAGTGATAGGTTCTTACCGCAAAGAATCGATAATTTTTAAACAATCAATAATCGATAAAGCATTTCAAAAATTGATAAATTCAACTTTTTTCCTCCGATTTCGTTCGTACTCGGTATGGAGGTTACTTACATCATGACAAGCTCAATGATATCTCATTTTTATTTCTACGGCACTGCGTTTAGCAAAAAACAAAAAAATCGATTTCGACACAAATTGATTTCAAGACAAATTTTAAACTAAAATCTCCCTCAATTTTTATGTAATCTAATACAAAATTCACTTAATTGTAGCTAACCATAAATTGATTGTTTAACAGTCATTTAAACTCGATAATTGAGTTCACCCATATAGAAAAAACCCACGTAAATAACGAAAACTTGCGATTTTTACTGGTTTCTTTCTTATTTTCCGTTGATCTTTCGACCAATTTTCATCAAACTTAACAATTGCTTTATAAATGTATCCCTTTTTACATCCCTGACAAATTGAATTTCAAACTCCAAATTAATTGTTATCTGAAGTGGGTCTTCATGTTGCCTGGTTTATACCTTCGATGTCCTCGGCTAATTTCGATTGAATAAATACAGAGTACTTCTGTTATATCACTGACTGCATTAATTCTAAATGTGTTTTTAATGAAAGTACTCTAAAGTAAATGAAGATAGACACTGTTACGTCTAAACATGATGGTGTTTTTGCTACATTTCAATTGAACGCTTTTTCTGATCGACCAGCTGGGTATGGCTGCTAGTTTAGTGTAATTGTCTTTTCGATTAATTTTCATTCAAACAATTTAAAACTCGAATAAATGCTTATGGAATAATTGTTTTCCGACAATTTCCGTCATCAAGGAAAGGATCGTTCACATTGACTCGATGATGCGGTCGAATGCTCTTTTTTTTCTTTTTTTTTCTTCCTTTTTTCTTTCTTTTTTTTTTTCAACAACACGGGCATCATTCTTTGATGACTAAAGTCGAAATGACTAATCAGTGCCACTATAAGTTAACGATTTGCTTGGTTTCATGGCGTTATGTCATTTCCTGGTGTATTCGCCAGCGAATTAAGCGGGAAGAACCAGCCAAAGACAGTAATACGTGCGCATGCGTACATCTCGAAGAGAAAAGACGCGAGAAATGGTGAAACACATGATGCAAAGCATTCCCAATGGACATACCATACATAGAAAGATTAAAGAGGCATGGTTTTGTTTAAGAATATTAAATTTACGAAAGATTTAATACATTTTTTTAAATTTTTGTAATCTAAACTTGTCTTTGTATAATTAAAAGGAAAATACGCAGAAATTGAAACAAATTAATTTTTTTCTATTAATTTTTTCTATTACTCTTTGGCGTAAACTTACGTTCAAAATGTCCCAGACGTAAACAGCTGAAATCTTAATTTGGCTTTTCCTTATCAGTCGATAAAACGGGTAGCGATGAAATAAATATCGGCAAAGAAAAATGATTGCTGGCAGTCAGAATATCTATACATTATTTAAAGATTTAAGAAACGCTCGGTTTTCATCGATACACCGTAAGAGCATTGTGATTTCCCAAGCGTAGCTTAGATGTGGCACAAGGCCGAACGTAAGAGACACCTAGTGAGGATCGAACTCACTACTCAGTCGTAACTCTTCTAATGAGACAAGCTTGCTGACCATTACACCGACTCGAGGTGCCCATTAGTGATTTCCCAAGCGTAGCTTAGATGTGGCACAAGGCCGAAAATAGGGGGCACCCAGTGAGGATCGAACTCAATATTCAGTCGTAATTGTTCTAGCGAGACAAGCTTGCTAACCATTAAACCATCTGAAGGTGCCCAATAATGATTTCCCAAGCGTAGCTTAGATGTGGCACAAGGCCGAAAATAGGGGGCACCCAGTGAGGATCGAACTCATTATTCAGTCGTAATTGTTCTAGCGAGACAAGCTTGCTAACCATTAAACCATCTCAAGGTGCCCAATAATGATTTCCCAAGCGTAGCTTAGACGTGGCACAAGGCAGTAAGTAGAGGGGCACCCAGTGAGGATCGAACTCACTACTCAGTCGTAATTTTTCTAGCGAGACAAGCTTGCTAACCATCTCATCGCCTCGAGGTGCCCATTAGTTACTTTCCAGGCGTAGCTTAGGTGTGGCACAAGGCCGAAATTATGGGGGCACCCAGTGAGGATCGAACTCACTACATAGTCGTAATTGTTCAAGCGAGACAAGCTTGCTAACCATTACACCGCTTCACGGCGCCCTTGCACCCTGAGAACATATTTAGGAAACAAAAGCTTCTCTAAGAACGCAGTTTATTTAAAAATTGGGGAATTAGAGAAAGAGGGATTAAATCAGAAAGAACTAATGATTTGTTTTGGTTTGGGTTTTTTTTTTTTACGGTATATCAACCTCAATTGGCCATTTAATAACGAAAACTTTTTTTTTTCCTGGTAATATTTTTGTTTTGTCAAAAATCTATTTATGGTAATATTTTTTTCTTCAAAAATTTATTTCTGATAATAATTTTTTTTTTTTTAATATTTCTAGTATTAAAAAGCTATTTTTACACTTTCATAAATCTTTTTACCTCAGTTTCGGGGTTCACTATTTGCCCATAGCTGGGACCCTAACAGGTGCTATTACCCCGGATCAGGGTGGACCTGGGAGCACCAGCAATTAAGAGGTGGTTCCATGCTCCTCAAAACCACCTGATCAAAGGCCTTGATGTTGGACGTAGTTTAACGTCTTACCCTTGACGCGGACGTAGTTTATCGTCATACCCAAGACAAAAAGGACTAATGAGTAAATAAGGAATCAGTAAAAAAAAAAAAAAAAAATCTTATAAATTTGACATGTTTCGCTTTCTGGCAACTTCTTCAGAGTTTTTTTTTTATTTAGGAATAAGGAGACACGAGGGAGAATATTTCGTTATTTTAAATTATATATTATTTGATTTCATTGGTCGAGTAGATAAGGATCATATACACAGGATATCGCTTCATATTTCCCTTAAATTTATTACTACATAGAGCCTTTGATTGAATAAATGATAAAAATTATTGAAATCAATTCTCGATCCCAACAAAAAATAAGGGGGGGGTGCAAGTCCCGACCATTCAAATATAACTGTGTTTTTTTCTCCGGATATTAACCGTCGATAACAAATAATAACTAAAAAGAAGAAAAAAAAAAAAAAGCAGAATCATAAATAGGATAATTTTTGATTCCACAAGCCAACGGCTACGACTGCTCTTATTTCAGAGGACATAACCAAATTTCGTAACCACACCCAAGTTAAAAAAAAAAAAATTTCCATTTAAAAAAAAAAATTTGTAAGTAAAGTCACATTGTAAACATATTCTTGCGTAAGTGCCTCCCTGAACACTTCAATAATGACCTCTCTGGTTCAAAGGCCAGTCGTCATCTTTAATAATGACCTCTCTATCTATCTATCTATCTATTTATCTATCACAGTCTGTTAATATCTATCTTTTTTTCTTTTTTTTTTTTTTAAGCATTGTGCCCCAAGCAAGGCGTGAAGCCACTAGGATGCAGGGGGTTGCGGAAGATTTGGAGCGAGAGCAGATAAGAGTGATAGGAGAAAGGAAGAGGAGAAGGATAGTGGGTAGATCAAGGTAATTGGAGATGTCGATTGACATTACATTTAAATAGTTGGAGATTATAGCTTTCAGGGAAACAGCGATTGGGGAGGGTGTTCCACTGGCGAGAGGTGCGAGGTATGAAGCTATTGGAGTAGAAGAGACGGCTACATTTGAAGGTTTCTACGGTGTAAGGGTGAGAGCGGGATGCCAGCCTCGTAGGGCGCTTGAATTCATGGAGTCTGGGAACAAGAGAGAGCAGCTCATCAGAGCAGTTACCATGGAAGTATTTGTAGAAAAGACAGAGAGAGGCGACGGCACGTCTGTGAGAGAGTGACTGCAACAAGACGCTAGATCAGGGCCAATTAGATTACATATCCTTCTCTGGATCTTGTCAAGAAGTCCGAGGTAAGCAGAAGGTGCTCCAGCCCATATATGGCAGCAATACTCCATGCAAGGGCGAATGGTTGTTTTATATATTTGAAGTATCGATTCAGGGGAGAAAAATTTACCTGACCATTTAAAGTTTACCGATGACATTATGTGGACAAATGAAAGTCACCTGAAAACATTACCCGGCCACTTGAAGGTTAACCGAAGATATTGTCCATACAAATGAAGGTTACCCGAGGACGTTACCCGAACAATTGAAGGTTAACCGAAGAGTCCATACAAATGAAGGTTACCCGAAGACATTACCCGAACAATTGAAGGTTAACCGAAGATATTGTCCAGACAAATGAAGGTTACCCGAGGACATTACCCGATCAATTGAAGGTTAACCGAAGATATTGTCCATACAAATGAAGGTTACCCGAAGACATTACCCGAACAATTGAAGGTTAACTGAAGACATTGTCCAGACAAGTGAAGGTTACCCGAAGACATTACCCGAACAATTGAAGGTTTACCAAAGACATTATCCAAACAAATGAAAGTTACCTGAAGACATCAACCAAACCCCCTGATGGATACTCATTCATCTGATGAAGGTCAGCCAGCACATCATGCAAACCGTTGTGACAATTACATCACAGTTTATTCTGACTCCGCCTAATGTAAATCCGGCAAGAGGCTACGGTAGAAGCCCAAGACGACGTTTCAAGGATCAGTTGAAAACATCCCGGACATAGGCCAACATCACACTAAGGCCGGGGAAACCGTGGTTGGAAATCGGCCCTCCTGGCGTACGAAACATCTGAAGGCGGTCGGAGACTTCCTAGTCCAACCGTCAATATGAAGAGGATCTCCGACGTGCTATCAAGTGGGAACGACTCACCCAGCCATGTCTACCACCGACACTCCTATTTGACACCTGCTCACGTCTCTTCAGGAGACATCTCCGTCACCCCCCCCTGCCAGAGAGGAGAAATAGAATAAAGAGAGAGGATTACGATCCCGATGATCGGATGAGAGCGGGTGCTGACGACAACGAATATGTAAATATCTGGTATGTTATTTACATTGATTGGAATATTATCCTCACATTTGTTGCCATATTCATGACGTTTCGGCTGTTGTACGCTCGGGCTTTCTTCAGGTAATTATAATTTCGCACTGAACCCTTTATTTCCTCCAACGGTATAGATACTTTCACGTGCCATGCCATTTCCGAATATCTCAGGACGCATTGCCCAATGGATAAAAGTGCTGGTCAGTGTAATCCAGTGATTTGAACCAAAGAGTTGTGAGTTCGATACCTGGCCAAAGAAGACGTGAACAAAAACTTGAAGTGTTAAGTTAAAGAGAAATAACGAAAACTGAGATATCCAGAAGAGGCGTCTCAGAAATAAAAAAAAAGATCATGAAGAAGTCTGGAGCGTACAACGGCTGAAACGTTGTGAATATGACAACAAAGATAAGGTCAACAGTCCGAACAATGTAAATAATGTATCATAATTGGAATACGACATCTCTGAAATATAGACATATCCTGAAGAAGGCTGGAGCGTAGAACAGCAGAAACGTTGAGAATGTGACAACAAAGATAAGCTCAAAAGTCCGAACAATGTAAATAGTTACAATACCTGATCTCAGAAATATAGACAGGTCCTGAAGAAGTCCAGAGTGTACAACTGCCGAAACGCTGTGATATGACAACAATAATGAAGACAACAGTCCGAACAATGTAACTAGTGTAAATAATTACAATATTTCATCTCGGAAATATAGACAAATCCTGATGAAGGCCGGAGCGTACAACGGCTGAGATGTCGTGAATATGACAACAAATATGAGGTCAACAGTCCGAATAATATAAATTGTGTAAATAATTACAATACCTCATCTCGGAAATATAGATAGATCCTGAAGAAGGCCGGAGTGTACAACGGCCGAAACGTTCTGAATATGACAACAAAAATGAAGACAACAGTTCGAATATTGTAAATAGTGTAAATATATGCCTGACATGGTGAGTATCGATTTAACTCCCAGGTTCAAGTCAATGAAAAAAGGAGTAAGTCTGAGTTTTAATTATTGAAATAATCAGGTTCTTGCTCCGGAAACTGAAGGACGGAATGTAAAACTTCGTAACCCAAAGACTCCCAGAAAGAATTCCACAAAACAAGAAAGCGGCTATTCGTTACTGCCGAAGACTCATTTTGTACTATCTTGCTAGTGTCTTTCTTTAAATAAAACCTTCGTTTAAAAGATTTTTCCATCGAATACTGGCGTCTCTTTTCTTTGCTCGCATTTCAACTTGCACGAACATTTCAATGTCCAAGAGACTTACCGGCAGATCTTGTCTCTGTTCTTCGAACAAAGGACAACAGAAAAGCCGGCTGACCGCTGGGCAGGAGGAAAGGAAGAGGTCGGCAGATTGTGAAGACAGCTTCAAATAATAAACGGCATTCAGACTGAGTGTCTTCTTTCGATCAAGAAGAGGCGGAAAGAATATTATTCTTTCTGAGTCGTCCAATTCAAATCTAATGATTTTTACATGAAGCTAGCGTAAAAAAAAGTGACTTTCTAAATTAATTATAATATTGAATATAATCGCTAAATGTTTCTTTCGACCAATGAAAAGGCACGCCAGGATGAATTAAGAGCTACCGTATATATACTTGGTTATATATATATATATAAGTTAAATTCCTTCGTTAAATATATATATATATATATATATATATATATATATATATATATATATATATATATATATATATATATATATCATCATATATAATTTAATTTATCTTTATCAGTGTATACATATAAGTATATCTATCTATCGTTCTATCTCTAACATTATTCATAACTATCTCAACGTTACTCATATATATATATATATATATATATAACCAGGTAACTATCTTTCTCTAGCACTATTCATACCTATCTCCAAGACAAATCATATCTATCTTTCTGCCTATCTATGTATCTCATTTTGTTCATTATCTATCTATCTATCTATCTCATTTTGTTCATTATCTATCTATCTATCTATCTATCTATCTATCTATCTTTTTTCTATTCCTCACTCTCTTCATATCTATCTTGTTAACTAGCGAGCTATCTATCTTCGTCTCTTTGTATGTATCTCAGTTTTTGGTGCTACCTCTCTCAGTTGTTTCATATCTATCGATCTATCTATCAATTTTATTTCTTTCTTTTTATTCTTTCTATTTTTTCTTTTTTTCTTTATGCATGGATGCATTAGAGAGCGGCCGAAATTAAAAAGTGCTGCTGCTGCTGTTACTATTGCTTCTGCTGCAGTTCAATCTCAAGCTATGATGATGTTGTCCACAAGAGCCACCTGGACCCTCCTGCATCCACGGTCTTGGCAGAGCCTTCAGAACATCCTTCAGCACCAGATGGATTTACTGGAATTCTTGGCGGACGAAGCCCTTACTAACGGCTAAGTGGTCGACCAAGTGGTCGGTCCCAACCTGCCTATGACCGGTCAGACTAGTAGATGTATCTGTCATCAGATTGTCACCGTGTATGGGGTTGGGTAGAGTGGTAGTACCCTTGCAGTGAGACGGTCGCGTGCTTGCTTAACCACATCGAACCATCTACCTCATCTAACCCCCCGCATATGGCTCCTTAAATATGTGAGTGCAGACGCCGGACCACATTTGGATATGGCAGTACTAGTACGGAAGTAGTTCGCCTAATGTGACTGCCCTTCAACAACCAGGGAAATCAGGACTTCCCCGACTGTTGAAGAGCAGACACATTAGGCGAACTCACACCAACACCATCGCTTCTATCTCCATTTTGATCTCGAAAATATCATTTTAATGTTATTACCTATTTCCTATTAAATTAATACTGAAAGAAATACTGAAATAGACAGTTTTTCAGTTTTAGGACATAAATAGACAGTTTTTTTTATTACTAATGCTGAAATAGGCAGTTTTTCAGTTCTAGTACATAGATAGACAGTTTTTTTATTACTAATGCTGAAATAGACAGTTTTTCAGTTCTAGTACAGAAATAGTTTTTTTATTACTAATGCAGAAATAGACAGTTTTTCAGTACCAATACTGAAATAGACAGTTTTTCAGTTCAGTACTAATACTGAAATAGAGAGTTTTTCAGTACTAGGAGAGAAATAGAGAGTTTTTCAGTACTAATGCTGAAATACTTTTTCAGTACTAATACGGAACAGTTTTTCAGTACTATTATGGAAATAGACAGTTTTTCAGTACTGGTACGGAAATAGTTTTTCGTTACTAATGCTGAAATAGACAATTTTTCGGTACTAATGCGGAAATAGAGTTTTACAGTACTAATACTGAAGTAGACAGTTTCTCATTACTAATGCTGAAATAGTTTTTCAGTACTAATGCTGAAATTGTTTTCAGTACTAGTACGGACATAGACAGTTTTTCAGTACTAATACGGAAATAGGTTTTTCTGTACTAATACTGAAATAGATGGTTTTCACTACTAAAATGGAAAAACACAGTTTTTCAGACTAATACTTAAATAGACAGTTTGCCAGTACTAATATCGAAACACAGCGTTTCAGCAATAATATGAAAATAGACAGTTTTTCAGTACTGATAAGGAAATACTTTTTCGTTACTAATACGGAAATAGAGAGTTTTACAGTACTAATACTGAAATAAACAGATTTTCATCACTAATGCTGAAATATCTTTTCAGTACTAGTACGGAAATATACAGTTTTTCAGTACTAATTCTGAAATAGTTTGTCAGTACTAATACTGAAATAGATGGTTTTCAGTACTAACATGGAAATAGACAGTTTCTCAGTACTAATACTTAAATACACAGACTGTTTTTCAGTACTAATATGGAAATAGACAGTTTTTCAGTACTAATACAGAAAAAGAAAGTTTTTTCAGTACTTATACTTTAGACAGATTTTCAGTACTAATACATAATATGGAAATAGTCAGTTTCTCAGTACAGTGTAACCCTGATATAAGAGACCCGGATATAAGAGAAACCCGGATATAAGAGAGATTTTCTCTGCTCCCAAATTAGAGCCTGTGTTAATGTATATAAAATAGACCAAACCCGGATATAAGAGAAACCCGGATATAAGACAACTCTCTTATATCCGGGTTACACTGTACAAATCCTTGAATAGTTTTTCAGTAATAATATGGAAATAGTTTTTTTTTCAGTACTAATACTTAAATAGACAGTTTGTCAGTACTAATATGGAAACACAGCTTTTCAGTAATAATATGAAAATAGTTTTTTCAGTACTAAATAGTCAGTTTTTCAGTACTAATAAGGAAATGGTTTTGTAGCATTAATAAGGAAACAGACAAAAAATTAAAAAAAAAGAATGAGCTGAATATTATTAAATTCTAAATTTAAAATGCATGTAATGGGGCAATGGATAGAGGTTCCAAATGAGAAGCCGGAGAGCCGAGTTCGAAATCCAGTCGAATTCGTTACGTGCACTTAAATGACCTTGGGAATGGTATGAATTCATATCTTCTCGGTTATGGGTTGAAAAGCACGACAGACTCGGTCCTATATCCCTGGTTGGCAAGTGACGGTAATCAACCGCAAAAAATCTTGTGCCTAGTCAGTCAAGAATCGAATGAGAAGTGATCGCCCTAGCGTGTATCACGTATAGCATTTACTGTAGGTAGGATTTGTTGCAATAAATGTATTTTTCTGATGAAACATGCCAAAATAGATGTTTTTCAAACTATCTTCTTGGTTTTTTTACTACTTATAATAATATTCACCCTGTCCAAGGCCCGGGACCGACTCGAGGTTACAGTGTAAGTAGTATAGGCTATGCAGATATGTAGGGAAGACAAATGGCTCACCCCAAAACCCCAACAGGAGTGATTGGGGAAACAAGCTCTCGGGAGTCGGTTCCACGTGGAAAGAAGTTGTTCGAGTAGAACCTTCATCTCATAATGGAACGCGAAGGGAATGAGGGTTGTTTTGTTCAAAGGGGAGTAGTGTGGCACCTTGGATTATTAGAAATATTCATAGAAATATGATTTAATTTTTTTTTACTCGGTTTACTAAACAGGTTGGATTTTTTTTAAACGGAAAATAATTGAGTTGAAAATAATTCACTGATTGTATTAAACGATCCTAAAAGAAAAAGAAAAGAAAGAGGAAGTTTTAGAAAAAAAAAAAAAAAGAGAGTTGGATGATTAATGCTGAAATCATTGGTGGAGACAGGAGTCAGAATAGATATCTTTTTTTTATTACTAATGTGTGGCCGAATTTTTCAGCGCAATAGAGAATTGTTATTTGAAAATAAAAATCAAATAGAGGGGAAAAAGAACCAGGCTTGATGACAGTGTTTTTATTGATAATGAAAAAATCAAAGCACCTTTCCTTCTTTTTTGCAGGAAAGACTTTTTTATTACAAATACAGAAAGGGAAATTTTTTTTTAGAAAATAGAAACGAAATTTTTTTTCTCGGACAAAAAGTTTTTTTGGTTGAGGGGAAACCGGTGGAACTTATTCAGTTCTGACCTATTAAGAATTGACACCCATTATAACAAAGTGGGGACATTTTCAATGTAGATAATTAAGATTTTTTGTCGGGTTACAAAAGACAGGAATAGGGAACGAGTTCACAGATAGCGCCAGTATTCTTCCCGAAGTCACATCTAATTAGCGAAAGGCTGTTTTGACAGAGCAGGTGAGAAAAAGACGTACGTTTCAAAAAAATACAATTAGTTTTGTTTTTTAAAACAAGAACGATGTAAACACGCCCAACCACAATCTCAACAAATAGGTCACGTGATATGCGGAAAAGAAGAGGTGCATCAAGAAATAGATTGGTCGGAAACGGTCACATCTGCGGAAAAGAAGAATGCTGAAATGCTCGATCAGGAATCATTGCAAAGCGGTCACCTACACACGCCTCCCCAAAATAAGGGCACTGTGAGGAAATAGGGTTGATAATGATTTTGCGACTTTTGGAATTATCGAGAAAACCCTGACGCCGACAGACCCACCCCAGTTTGTTGCGGCGTCAATAAATAGACAG